TTGTTTTAAGAGGCATTTTTAATTACATAAAGTGGGGCTGGAGAGATGACTCATCAGCTAAGAGCACTAGTTGCTCTTGCAGAAGACCCAGGTTCAGTTCCCAGCACCCCAATGGCGGCTAACAACCATCTGTAACTCCAGTTCCAGGGGAATCCAACACTCTCTTCTGACCTCCTGGGGCATTGCATGACATGGGTGCACTTACATACATTCAGGCAATACATTCGTATGCATAAAATAAAAATAATATTTTTTAAAGTACATAAAGTGGGATCATCCTTTAAACTAAATAAATTTAACTTTATGAACACACACAATTTTTAAATTTTTTAAAGATTCCTACCAGGTAAACAGAAATCACAGAGCATTAATGCTAATTAATCTGTTAACATTCCCATAACACTAATTTGCTGAAGCATATTAGTCACAGGACTGCATCTGTCTGCATGGATTCTGAAGCTAGTTATATTTTTTTTTCTAGAAAACTCTCTAAGAAAGTACATTCTTGGGTGAAAGTCGCCCCATTTTCTACCATAATGTACTGAGGAGGTTTGGAATAGAGCAGTTTGGATATTGAATTTTCCATTTGCTAGGCAGGGTTCAAGTCCTTTAGCTTCATCCCTATGAGGACGATGCTTGTCAAAAAGACCACTGGGAGATTTGAATAACGTATGAAAGAGGCCTCACAGGTTGTAGAAAATTACTAAAATGTAATCACTTCCTGGAAGCCAAAGGAAGCGCAAGCCATTTTTTTCAGGTGGACCTCATAGCTTCATAAGCTGAGTATGATGGCACTTGCCTTTGATCCCAGGAGGCAGAGGCGGGTAGGTGAGTCTCTGAATTCAAGGCCAGCCTCAGGCTACAGAGAAACTGTCTCAAACAAAAAACCTTTATGCCAGGCAGGATGTGCCCACTTGTACAACAGCAGAATGACTGTTATGGGGTGTAAACACCCACTTACCCACCTTCTAATTCAATTTGAGGTCCACTAAACAGGAAGGAGTTCATGCCTGGTAATCTTGGGCAAAAGCCCAAGCCCATGGCTGGAAAGGTCATAGGCACTAAGCAGGGTGCTTAAGCAAATTTGGTTGCTGTGCTAAATGCTCATGTGGTCCAATTGCCTTCTAAATATTCATGAGGGGTTTTTTGTTTTGTTTTTAAATTATTTGTCTTTTTGAGACAGGGTCTCCCTATAGCCCCAGCTGTCCTGGAACTTGCTATGTAGACCAGGCTGGCCTTAAACTCACAAAGATCCGCCTGCCTCTGCCTCCCAAGGGATTAAAGGCATGTGCCAACCATGCCTGGCTATTAATTTTTTATCTGTATGAGTGTTATGCCTACATGTATTTAAGCTGTACCCATGCCCTACAGTGCCCACAGAGGGCAGAAAAGGGCATTGGATCCCCTGGAACTGGACTCACGGATGATTGTTAGCCACCTATGGTGCTGGTCTTCTGCAAAAGCAGCCAGTGCTCTTAACTGCTGAGTCACCTCTTGACAACCCCTAAATATTTGTTTATATCCATAGATTAGTGCTGCTCTCAGACCCAGAAGAGGGGCTTCTGCTTTTCAGTAGGTGGTTAATAGAGAGGCTCATAACTGGTCAGAGTGCTAAGAATAAGTGACTGTCAAGTGTGCTGCCCCAAATGGGATGTCTGTATCACCTCTCCAGGGCTCAGGGACACTCCAGAAGGAGGAGGTGGAAAGAACCTAAGAGCCAGAGGATGGGGGGGGGGGGGGGGGCTGTAAAATGCTGTCTTTTGGACATCACATAGCTGTTACACTCATGAACTCAGAGTAGTTGGGGTTACCTGCACAAGATCAAGCCACTCAATAATTCCAGCATGGATGGGGAGTAGGGGAAATGGAAACTGTTGGTTGCTGGGGGAAGGGGAGTCATTTTTCTTCAGTGGTGTAGCCACTGTTAAGTAGTCTTATGCTCCAGTAAATAATCCCCACCATGCTCACGCAAGCAACCCTAATTAAACAGAGGGTCTCACATACACACAAAAGACATGAAAGTAGAAGGGGGACTCGGAAGAAAGGGTGCAGTGGGAGTGGGAAGGGGTTGAAAGACGAGTGGAAATGACCAAAATATATAGTTGTTTGAATTTTGTCAAAGAATAAAAGACGCTTCAGGAGAAATATGTACACCTGAACCATATTTATATATTAACAATGTTTAGGTGATGGTATAAAAATATTTAATCAGTCACAAATGGCTAAAGTGTAAAGAATTAAGTCTGCAGAGTGTGGGTCCTTGGGCAGGACTCCTATATTAAACTCCACCCACCCAGGGCTCAGGGACTATTGCGGAAGAGGGGCAGAAAGATTTTAAGAGCCAGGGAGGAGGTGCATGACTATACAGAAATGGAGTCCTACAGGTTCCTGGGACCCTTTTCATATGAACCTACAGCAATGGTGTCAGCATGCACAAGACCCATGCAAATTCAAGCAGACAAAATCCCAGCACAGAACTGTAGAAATGGGCAGCAGGCCCCAATCTTACTCAAGGAATTATTGGCAGCTAACTACTTCTGGGTGAGGAAGAGCTGATCTTAAAGGGAGGCACTCTAGACAGGCTGACTAGACCTCAGTGGATGAATTTGCACTGAGGGACAACTTGGGACACTAACTTGACATGATAAGCCTTAACACAACAGAATGTACGAATTCTAGTGTGTGTGGGGGGTGCTATGGGAGGATGCCAATGGAGAAGAGGGTATAAAGATGACTAAGATGTTCTGTATAGCAAGCTGGTAAGGGAGAACACCAGCTGATGGTCCAACTCTAGCTTCAAGGTCTAAAAACCACATCAATGACCAGCACAGCAAATGACATCAGTACAGTAGTGGCACTTTTATCTTCAGGGTAATCAATAGCTACCTAATTGGACTTAAAGCCCACTCAATGTGAGAAAACTCATATCTGGTACTGTAAACCTAGTCAAATACATATACCTGGAGAGGTCATAGACATGAGAGAAAACCCCAAGGCTCTCATATCCCTAGGCAAATGCAATTTCTTACTATGTGCAAAATATGGATCCTTAAATTCACAAGTATCCTAGTTACCACCCATCAAAGAAGTTTCTTTTTCAACAGATAGAGATTATTACAGAGTTACACCACTGGTCAAACACAGAACTTGTCTGTGAATTGCCCAAGCCTAAGTGGCACATCTAGGATGCAACCTCTACTCCTAAGGCTCATGGAACACAGAACAAGGGAAGAGGACACTAATGCATCTTTCAGTTCTCATCAATGAAATCCCTCATGCAACAGAGGACCAGGAACACAAACGGCCTCAAATGGCCGAAACACAGAGAATAAGAGTCTGCAGAGTGTGGCCCCTTAGATAGGACTCCTATATTGAGGTCCACTCACTCAGGGCTCAGAGTCCATTGCAGAAGAGGTGGCAGAAAGATTCTAAGAGCCAAGGCAGAGATGCATGATCATACAGAAATGGTCCTATAGGCATCTGGGACCCTTCTCATACAAACCTACAGCAACAGTGTCAACATGCACAAGATCCACTCGAGCTTAGGCAGACAAAACCACAGCACAGGGCTGTGGAAATGAACATCAAGTCCTAATCTTAGTGGAAGAATTATTAGAAGCTGATAATTGCTGGGTGAGGAAGAGCTAATCTTCTTGAAGGGAGAGACTCCAGATAGGCTGACTAAACCCTGGGGGATGAGCTACCACTGAGGGACATCTGGGGACACTAACTTTACATAATGGACTTTTAACACAAATGACAGAATATATGAATTCCAGTGGTTGGGGGGGACGGGACTATAGGAAGGTGCCAAAGGGGAATGGGGAAGGGGGTAGAAAGATGATTTTCTGTATGAGATACACAAAAATTCAATAAAAATTAAAATTAAAAAGATGTTATAAATGAAATACACAAAAATTCAATTAAAAAATTTACCAGAGGCTAGAGATGGCTCAGCAGTTAAGAACACTGGTTGTTCTTGCAGATAGACCTGGGTTCAAATCCCAGCATCCACATGGCAGCTAACAACTGTCCGTAACTCCAGTCCCAGGGGATCTGACAGCCTCTTCTGACTGACCCCTGTGGGCATTGCATGACATGGGTGCACTTACCTACATGCTAGCAATACACGTATTCAATAAAATAAAAATAATTTTTTTAATTTAAAAAAATTTACCAAAAAAAGATGTATTATATGAAATCCAGAAAAATTCAATAAAAATGTATTTACAAAAAAATAAAAGTAAGTTGGGCATGGTGGTGCATGCCTTTAATTCCAGCACTTGGGAGGCAGAGGCAGACGGATCTTTGTGAGTTCGAGTCTAGCCTGGTCTACATAGCGAGTTCCAGGCCATCTGGGGCTATAGGGAGACCCTGACTCAAAAAAGACAAAAAAAAAAAAAAAAATTAATCAACTGGACACAAAAAAAAATAAATGATGGGGAAGGGGGGAGCTGGAGAGATGGCTCCATGGCTAAGAGCACGTACTGCTCTTACAGAGGACCCCAGAGGATCCCCAGAACCCAAGTCAGGTGGCGCACAACCACCTGTATCGCAAGCTCCAAGAGATCCAACACCTCTAGGCTCCTTGGTCACCTGCCCTCACATGCACATAACGCATACACAAAAACACATTATTAGAAATGAAATTTTTTAAATTTAAACCGGTTTGGGAGTGAAGTACTTGGGAAACTATTCATTAGATGATAACAGAAGGCACTGTATTATATTTGGCCAAATTAAAGTCTTATTTATGTTTTCAATAAATAAATAAATAACTTCTTTTTAAATGACAGGGCTGAGCACATGGCATGTTCCTGTAGTTCCAGCATCAAGAAGCTAAGGGAGAATGACCATCAAGTCCCAGGACAGCCTGGGTGACATGGTGAGACACACTCAAAGAAACCAGACAGACTTAAATATTTCAAAAGGAAAACAAGATGAAGTTGGTTTCTCTAAATAAGAATGTCAAATTCAGAATATAAATAATGAAATATACATTTTAATATATGAAAAGACATTTTTATTATTATTTTACTATATAACATCTTAGCAAACACACCAGGCTGCGTTTTCTCAATTGTCAAATGAGACACAGGCCAACACTTTGATTCTCTCAGGAATCTCAGTACCATCATCTGTCTTTTGGAGGGTTCGGTTTCTTGCGACGTCTGTGATACCTTGAAAAGAAGAAAATACTAGAGGTAAGATTATTTCAATAAAAGCTAGTTATTCAGGATAGAAACTAAATTTCTATGATTATTTTATTATTATTAGAGCTGTCTGAAAAGAGTCAATGAAACTTAATACATTTTTGGACACATCAAATATTTGTTTTGGTTTTTTTGTTTTTTTTTTTTTAAAGCCATGTGCCACTATACCTAGCTAATTTTTTATTTTTTCATTTTATGTGTATGCGTGTATTGCGTGCATGTAGCACCTGTGTCGTGCAATGCCCGCAGAGGACAGAAGAGGCTGTCAGATCCCCTGGAACTGGAGTTACAGACAGTTGTTAGCTGCCATGTGGGTGCTAGGATTTGAACCCAGGTCTTCTGCAAGAACAGTCAGTGTTCTTAACAGGTGAGCCATCTCTCCAGCCCGTTTTGGTTTTTTGAGATAGGGTCTCACTATGTAGTCCTGGCTGACCTGGAACTCTCTATATAGAGAAGGCTGGCCATAAACTCATAGAATTCACTTGCCTCTGCCTCTCAAGTTCTGGAATTAAATGCAGCACCACCACAACCAGCCTAATGATTTTATTTTTAATTACGTGTGTGCGTATGTGTGTGCATATGTTTGTGCATGCTGAGTGCAGTGCCTATGCAGTCCACAAGAGAGTGTTGGGTCCCCTGCAGCTGGAGCTATAGGTAGTTGTGGACTGCGTGACACAGGTGCTGAGAATCAAGCTCAGGTCTTCAGCAAGAACGTACACTCTCATAACCTCTGAGTCATCTCTCCAGCCCCTCAGATATTTCTTAGTAATAAAGCCACATTTCTCCATCACGAAAATGTTTTCTACCAGATAAATATTTTGGAAAATCTCCTTTCAAATCTAATGATAATGTCAAGACAACATGGATTACTGATCTTGAATCAAAAACAAACTGTCTTTAAAAGAAATGTTACATCATAAACATGTACATGTTTTATTAAAGTTTTTTTTAAAATCAATTATCTGGGGCTGGAGAGTTGGCTCAGTGGTTAAGAGGACTGCTTCTGTAGAGGACCCAGGTTCAGTTCTCAGTACCCACGTGGTGTCTAACAACCATCAACTCCAGTTCCAGGAACTCTGATGCCCTCTTCTGATCTTTGTAGGCATTGCATGCAAGTGGTACACTTACATGGATACAGGCAAAACATTCATACACATAAAATAACAAAAACAAAACCCTCCAGGCATGGTGATGTACCCCTTTAGTCCCAGCACTCAGGAGACAGACGCAAAGGGAGGCAGATCTCTGAGATTGAGAACAACCTGGTCTACACAGCAAGTTCCATGCCAGCTGGAGCTACAGAGAGAGCCTGTCTCAAAAAGATCAAACAAACAAACAAAACCCAACTATCCTTCTCTGAACTGAGGCCTCTTAAACTATAAAATCATGTTTTAATATACAACAGAAAAAAATTAATAATGTTTATAGAAAAATATAGACTGTTACAAAAATGGAAGAAATGGGAATTAGAACATGTACAGGTTACGTTCTTTAGTTGTAAAAAAGAAACAGCATTTTGCTTACCTTAAAAGTTTCAAATATGCAACTTTCCTATACACTATTTGATACTGATTTGGGTGAGAATAGTGCTAGATAATATCAATTTTAAAAATTCACTAAATATGGGCTGGAGAGATGGCTCAGTGGTTAAGAGCACTGGCTGCTCTTGTGGAGGACCCAGGTTCGATTCCCAGTACCCACATGGTATGAACAACTGTCTGTAACTCCAGTTCCAGGGGATCCAACACTTTCTTCTGACCTCCATGGGCACTGCATGACATGGATGGACTTACACACATGCAGGCAAACACTTATACACATAAAATAAAAATAATGAAATACTTTAAAATTCACTAAATATAAATTAAGCTGAAAATACATCTATACAAACATGAAAGAATCAGTTGTGAAAAATATACATAGCATAATACTATTTACATAAACATTTCTACATGTATTTATATTGACTGGCACAAAGAAGATTACAGCTTCCTAAAAGGTTCCAGTTACATGGCAGATAGTCCAAGTTTTACTGGTGTAATAGTGTCCATTAAAAGTATCTATACAAAACTGTAACTCCAGCTCTGAAGGATCAGATGCCCTATTCTGGCCCTCTGTGGACCCAAACAAACATATACACATATACACATGTATACACACAAATAAATAAAATAAACGTATTTTTTTAAAGTAAAAAAAAATATTCTCTCAAAGTAACTGGTCACCAGAATAGGAGTTTCTAGAAGGGGCTTAGGGGGCTGGAAAGATGGCTCAGTGGTTAAGAGCCTGTTCTTTCAGAGGACTGGAGTTCAGTTCCTAGTACCCATGTTGGCTAGCTCACAATTACCTCACTCGAGCTCCTGGGGGGTCTGATGCCCTCTTCTGGCCTCTACTAGCACCCACATACATGTGTGCATAAACACACAGCGACACATAAATAAAAAAATTTTTTAAAGTAAAATAAAAAAGGTAGGGTTTTTTTAAAAAGTCATTAATCCCCTTGGCCAGCATGGTGGCACGTACCTTTGATTCCAGCACTCAGGGAGACAGAGGCAGGCAGACCACTATGAGTTCGAGGCCAGCCTGGTCTCCACAGGAAATCTAGGCCAGCTGTGGCTACAGGGAGACCCTGTCTCAAAAAGACCAAAAAAAAAAAGTAAAAAAAAATAATAAATTAACCCCCTAAAAATATTTATTAAATTTTGAATATAGCTGGTCGTGGTGGCACGAGCCTTTAATCCTAGGACTCAAGAGGCAGAGGCAGTTCAAGTTCTGTGAGTTCAAGCCCAGCCTTGTCTACATAGTGAGTTCCTGGCCAGCTGGGGCTATAGGGAGACCCTGTCTTAAAAAAAGAAAAAAAAAAAAATTCTGAATATGTATTTTCCCGGGAAGTAGGTTCATACATTTTTCAGATTCTCAATGAAGTCTACGACCCTAAAAATGCCAAAAACTATCCTTTATGTATGAATTTCAATATATAATACACCATATAATCTAATCACTAGCCAGAAACAACACCTTAATTTTAGAGTGACCTTAAAATCTATCATCTAGACTGGGATCCCTTAGAGAATAAAAGCAGACAGGATTAATAGTAACAAAAGAGCTAACCTAAGACTATTTCTGGCAAACCAAGATATATTGTTACTCATCTAAATTATACAATGACTTGGTGACATTTGGGATACTGGTCCAGTTCTTAACCCAAAGCAGAACTTTACCTTCTAGCTCATGCTAGGCTAAGTCTTCAAATCTGTTTCTTAATGATAATAGTAGCTGATCTTCAGGGGTTGGAATATGGCTCAGTGGTTAAGAGTGCTTGCTAAACAAGCATAAGGACCTGAGTTCAAATCCCAGTACCCACATAAAAAGCTCAGTGACATGAGCCTGTAACCCCAGCACTGTAGAGGTGGAGGCAACAGGATCAGTAGGGCTTGCTGACAGTCAGCCTAGCTGCAGATTCCGTGAGAGGCCCTGTCTCAAAAGACTAAGGAATCATAGAGCAGGGTGCTGATGTCCTCCCCTGGTCTCCATGTGTACACAGACCACAAACCACCCCCCATGTGACAGTCTCTCTCTCTCTCCTCTCTCTCTCTCTCTTGTGGATCTCTCTGGGATCCAGTTGTACAACCCTAAGATACTGAGACCCTAGAATAACACACACACACAGAGCTGATTTTCATTGCTTCCATGGGAAAATATTAAAGTAATTGAAGCAATACCGTTATTATGCATTTATAAAATTGCTCTAATTTTGTAATTTACTTCTAGATATTTACATTTCTCTATTTAGTTTTCCTATCCTTTTCTTTCTACATAGTTTTATATTTAATGGTATTAATTATCTTCTTGTATAAGAGATATCCATTCATTCATGTAAAAATGTGTAAGGATTTACTATAAGCCAGGATATTCCTTCCAGGTCCTAACAATTCTGTAGTACACAGACAAAACAAATATCCCCACTCTAATGGATCATATATCCCAGTTCAAGACAAAGGAAAATAATTTTGTGGTCAGTGAAGGCTTCATTCAATAAAAACTCAAAGGACGTGAGAGAGTTAGCTTTCCTGACAGCGGCAGGCAGAGCAGTCTACTCAGACAAGCAGCAAGGTAAAGGCCCTGAGGAGGAAGCAAGGACATGTTCAGAGGCCATGTGGCTAGAGCAGAGTGAACAAGGATCAGAACAATAGGAAATGAGGGCAGGAAGAGAACGAAGAGTCAGATCATGTAGTTTACTGTGGGCTTTTCTGAAATAAAAATTACAAGAATAAGAGACTTAACAGGATTTACTTTGGAGCTATGCTACGAACAGAAAGCAAGGCAAAAGCAGAGACCACTTTCAGTTTTCTACAAACCAAGCAAAGGATGGTAGCTTTGACCAGGATAGTGGCAGAGGAAATGGTGATCAGTGGTGAAATCTGGGTAACTATGGAGCTATGGTAACAGTACTTGGTGGCCAGATGCTGAGTGTGAGCTGGTAAAGAGAGAAATGACACCAAGGATTTTGGCCCAAGTAGCTACAAGAATGGAACAGGCATGAATGGAGACAGGGAGCCTGCAGGAGCTGCTCTGTGACCTTCAGAAACGCAGTGAGAAGCTCATGGACATGGCATGGCTGTCTGACACACCAAGCAGATAACTAGATCTATAAAATTAGAGGTCTTCATCTGAGGTAGCCTTGGGAGTCATTATCATGCAGACAGTATTTAGGACAACAAGACTGGGTAAGACCACTACCACAGAGCACGGGCAGCAGGGATGAGAAGGCCAATGGCTAATTGTTCGACACTCCAAAATTCAGATATAGTAAAGATGGAAAAAACCACCAAGAGAAACCAAAATAGTGTATGAATAGTAGATAGGTCAGAAACAAACGCTGGAAACCAAGGACACTAGCAGCCTCGCTTCCTGAGTAAAGGCAACACTAACAGCCAAAGGAGGGCCCTCCTGGGCAGCTGAAGATG